AAGACAAAAACTAGGAATTTCACTATGACGTTATCATACAGTTTCTTGAACTGATTCAATTCTCAAAATAAATCCTCCATCTCTAAAGCCATGTCAAAATTACCTACATTCTGTTTAGGCCATTCTCTCTCATCCCACAAGAGACCACAAAAGCTCTCCCAGGGAAGAGAACTCCACTGCCAAAAGGAGCTATAGGCTCCGCAGCTGCTCTGCTCCCATACCGGGAGCACAGCAGAGCCTGAGAGGCAGCACGGGTTTCCCTGGGTACTGAGCGAGTGACACAGACCTTCCTATACAGTTCCCTTCCCTCCCTCCTCCTAATAAATCTACACATGCCTTCTACTCCAACAAAGGTAGGTCAACTGAGCTAGTCTCAATACATACTGATAATATACATACACACACATTATAAGAGACCTGTGACCAATCTATTTCAGTTGGTATTTTGCACTGCTTTAAGGTCCTTATTCTAAGATGTCACATTTGGCTTTAGGGAAATTAGGTTTCACCTTACTCTTGCAAACAGGCAAAAAAGTTCTAGAAATCAATAGTCTCTGTTCAGATCAATAAAACCTGTTAACAACTAACTGACAATACAATATGGGTCAAGTGTTGCTTATTCAAGGACCACAACACAGTACACAAACTCTGACAAAGTAGTAGTGTGCTTTTTTTTAAGTCTGCTTCTGCCAGACCCCATTTCAGGGTGCAGCTGGAGTTGCCCTCGTGTAGTCACTTGTGTAGACCCTGTGGTCAGCCAGCAGGCTTTCTACTGTCCTTCCCTCCTGCTCGTCATGCTTCTCCCTGGCAAGTCTACAGACTTTTGACACGTAACATGCAGTAGGAGTATCTGGCATGCCGAAATTCAGCTCAGTATTGTGGTATCGCCAAAATCCATTAAATGTGCCAAACACATGCTCCATAATTACCACTCTGGCACAAGCGATGTTCCTCCTCCCTCCCCCCATGATGCCGGCTAGCTTCTGTACACTTTTAAACACTCGAGATGTAGGCTGTCCCCCCCAAGAATCCCATTTGGCATGGCAACTGAGACAAATACCTATCCTGGAAAGCACCCCTCCATACAGCTCATTTCCAGGGGTATAAACATCATCCAGTCAACCTTAAACTAAGACCAATACGGTATTTTGAGACATTCAGTAGTGCTTTTACACCTACTCAAAATATCACCGTTGAAACACTCAAAGAATAGGGTGGGGAAAAATTGTGAATCCCTGAAAATGAAGCCTATTCAACACCCTGTATAATACTGAGTATTCCAGGTTAGATAGTAAACATAGGTCAACTCTACACTGGACAAGTAAGAAGCATATAATTTCACTGACATAATATACCCTTGGGACCTTGTTTACCACATTCTCATAATTCAGGTTATTGGTGAAGTCTACCAAGGTTCCTCTTCTGTATTGAAATGTTCTGCAGCTACTGCTGTTGCCCCATATTCATCATCATGATCCACAGTCCTCAATTCAAGCAGCATCTCACATTTTCACTTACCACCCATTCCTCTGTAATTCTCTCATCTTCACTACAGTTGGATGATCGGACCATATCAAGGGCAAGTGTTGAGTGCTGCACCTGGGGAGGTTTAACCCCATGCACCAGTACAGGCTGGGGGCCCACCTGCTGGAAAGCAGCTCTGCTGAGAAGGTCCTGGGAGTCCTGGTGGATGACAAGCTCACCATGAGCCAGCAGGTTGCCCTTGTTGCCAAGAAGGCCAATGGTATCCTGGGGTACATTAAGAGGAGTGTGGCCAGCAGGTCGAGGGAGGTTATCCTCCCCCTCTACTCTGCCCTGGGGAGACCCCACCTGGAGTACTGTGTCCAGTTCAAGAAAGATGAGGAACTCCTCGAGAGAGTCCAGAGAAGGGCTACAAAGATGATTAGGGGACTGGAGTATCTCCCCTATGAGGAAAGGCTGAGAGAGTTGGGCTTGTTTAGCCTGAAGAAAAGACTGAGAGGGGACCTCATCAACACATACAAATATCTTAAGGGTGGATGTCACGAAGGTGGAGCCAGACTCTTCTCAGTGGTGCCCAGTGACAGGACAAGGGGCAAGCATTAGAGGTTTCAGTTGAATATGAAGAAGAACTTCTTTACTTTGAGGGTGACAGAGCACTGGAACAGGCTGCTCGGGGGGCTTGTGGAGTCTCCTTCTCTGGAGATATTCAAAGCCCGCCTGGATGATGTCCTGTGCAACCTGCTCGAGGTGAACCTGCTTTAGCAGGGAAGTTGGACTAGATGATCTCCTGAGGTCCCTTCCAACCCTTGCCATTCTGTGATATACCTGGCCACATTGGATCAGATGAAAGGCATATTGGCACAACTATGTTTTCTCTGGCAGCAGCCAGTGGCTTCTTCATCTGCAATCCCTCATGTAGCTTCTAAACGTCATGGCTTTGTGACATATAATTTTTATTTGCAATTAGAGCAAGAAGAGCCCTCCTTCTTTTTAATACTTTATCATTTCAAATCTCAGCTCTGAATAAGCTTGTCACAAAGCTTAAGTAAAGACTGGAAATAAAAAAAAAACAAAAAAAACAAAAAAAACCACAAACACAAGAAACAACAACAAAATTCTTTAAATCAGGATGAAAAATTCATCCGAAGAGATGCTTTCAGTCACACTGCTTCTGACATATGCTGGAAAGAAGCTGTAGTTGTGATGATGCAGCTAGCCATCATTATGTAGCAACATAGAAGAAGCCAGGCTTAAAAAGAATAACAGTCTTTCTTATTAGACCTGGAGATGAAAGTTGGAAAATCCATACCAGTTTTAGATTTCAGTCTCTCCATCAGAGCCTTTTTCAGAAAGCACAAAGATGCATTTTGTTTTAAAACCACACTGGCAGTTAATGGAGATAAGAAATAGAACCTTCATCTCCACACTCCTTTTCTGGCTTAGCCATAAACAATCTTTTCTTTCCCCACCTTCTCTCTAAATGATCTGTATTAACTGTAATTCCCTTTGATTACAGCCACTGTCTTAGCCCTTTTGCTTTATTCTCCCACCAGACAGCCCTGTTATATACTTTGCAGAAAAAAAGAGGTCCGTAGGAGATGTATAATTTGGGGAGGTGGGGGGCACAGGCCCATGGGGGTCCCAGACAACACACAGACTCACTTCCCAAAAGTTCTGGAAGACTTATTATATATGACCTACTAGAAAGAAGCTACGAATTTTATTAAGTACAGGATATATATTCTATTCTGCAAAAGAGATTTAAGCATAAGTTTTATTAATTTTGAAGTAAAAGTTACAGCCACCTCTAGCCAATCACAAAATGATAGCATATTATCAGACTTCAGTAGATGTAACTTTTAGTAGAGGTGAATATTACACACTAGCTCCTATACAAGAGGAAAACCACACAGATATACAATTTGCTAAGGAGATCTATTGGTATAGTCAGGATTACAGAACATACAACTCAGTAGCCAGGGCACCCAAACCTGTTACAGAGAACGTTCATATATTACCTTCCACAAGCACTTTGGTAAAGATGCCTAAAAAAAAAAGGGGGGGACGGATGTATTACTACATCTGCTGCAGAATGAAAACATTGCTCTGTGAGCTGCAGAAGAAACACAGCGCCTCCTGTTCCTGCTATAATAGCAATGATGATAAGCCAGCTGCTGCCAAAAAGAACACGTAACAGCTGAGTAAAACCCTTATTGTGGGGAAGCATTGTAACTTAGGGTCCCTCTCACCCATCCAGCTACTCAGCTGTGTATTTTCCCAGAACTTGAAGAAACTTTATTAAACGCAAGACCCACGTTCCCCTATGAAGACGATCAACGAGTGCCCAAGTCAGGCAGTCCAACGTCAGTCCCATTGCCTTAGAGCCATAAGCACCAACACAATGGAGAGATTTGTCCTATGGGACAAATGCACAGACGTGGACCCTGCAGCAAGGCACCCCACAAACATCAAATAGCTTTAGCAGTTGTGTAGAACCAACTAACATTTGCAGCTTTGCAGAAACAGTTTCATGCCCTCTCCTCACAAAAACTTGAAATTTTTTTTAATTTCTGAAAAGGAAGAGGCGACTACAAGAATCTCCTGGAGACAGCGGTATTCTCCTACCACCCCAGAGCAAGACAAAGCGCTCCCCGGGGAGGGCCGGGGGCTGGTGGGGGAGCAGCGGCCCTCCCAGCCCGGCCCCGCCCCCCCCCCGGGGAACCTGCCCTGGAGACAGCGAGTTCTGGAGCAGGGACCCAGGGACCAACGCCTGCCCCGTCCTCAGCCACCTTTAAAAGCCCCACCGCGGCAGCCCTGTGCCAAGGACCCCCCAA